ACCTCTGCCCAGATTGTAGCTACCTAAGCCCACATCGTACCCACCTCGGCCCACATCGTACCCACTTCAGCCTGCTCTTGAAACAGGTTTACAAGAGACAACATTGAGAAGTTAAAGATAGGTTTGAGACGCCTACACCTCCTTTGTGACCATTTTCAGAGAAGATTTGTTGCACAAATTGTCTGAACATGATCAAAATTCAAGCAATAATTAATAATTTAATAATAATTTAATTTAATAATAAGCAATAATTTCTCTGTAATTCACACAAGGAAACTTGAAAGTTTTTAGACATTTAGAGGACTCGAATATCATTTGTCAACTCATCTCCTGCAGTCCCAATCCAGTTAGACACTGGTTTTAGCATGTTTTCTACTTGTGGATAGTTTAAAACCCCGGTGAGCAATAGGTTATTTCTAATCATGTTTAATATATAAATCCTTAGGAGACACTTTAATTAGGGCTTACCTGATGCACTAGTGCTAACATCTCCATTATGTTTCTCTATGGAGGTTTGTCTCTCTGCAGCATGTCTCACTGGTTTCCTCCTCCTCCTTGAACCTGAGTTTTTTCTGTGTCCCAGAGGAGTGCCCGTAGAACTGAATGTTGACATCTGTATAGGACCTTCAGAACCTGCAAGCATCATAACAAGTCAAGGCTCAACGCATGAATAAGGTTCATTTAGGTGCAGACTAGGCAGCGGCTGATTGCCAGTTTCAGAGTATACCACAGCGTTGGAAAGGCAGAGTCAAACCTCAATAAACGTTTGAGGGTGAGTGATCTATCAAAACAAGCTGAAGTCTTTGTAGCTCACCGTCTCCAGTGCCCTGGTTGCTGGTGATAATTTGCAGCCTCCACTGAGCCTCCGCGGTGTGTTTGGACAGTCTCTGCAGGCGAGCCCCGAACGTCTCAGCAGTCACAGAGCAGCCTAGAACGGCAGCAGCCTCTGCCTCTCGAGACAGGGCTCTTCCCGTTTCTTGACCCTCCTGTCGACCCACCACACACATGCCTTCCAGACCTTCTTTCAGCAGTTTCAGAAACCCCTCCATGGCTGTCACATCCACCAGAAAGCCTCTGCAGCCCTGAACGAGGTGTTCCAGGTCCAGGTGACCACTGTGAGCTGCAGCTGAACGTGGACACTGCTTCTGGTCCTCCCTCCTTTTCTGCTCAGTCTCGTCTGGATCTACTTTGGCTTCTGCTTCTACATTTTGATCCGCTGCATTTGATGTGCATTCAGAGTGAGCGTCGGTGTCTGTGCTGGAGTCTTTTTGGACCTGTTGGACAAAGTCAGACGTGGACAGAAAGAGAAGGGAAAATATGTTCTCCAGCAGCTCGAGGCGGAACATGGCGGGTACCGTCTCTAGAAAGAGCTGGCACTCCGACAGATAGTGCTGGAACAGGATACGGCCTCCTGCGAACAAAAGCAGAATAAAATCTTTCAGAAGTTAAAAATATATACATGCAGTACATAGTAGTTCAGAAAATAAAAACTGAGATTTATTTAATCGTACCCATTAAAGTCAAGATTAACGCAGTCAAAATAAAATCTAGCGTTCTTGAAGCTTCTCTTGATTCACTCCTTGAAAAATTAAGGATTTAAAATGTTTTGTCTAACATACAAAGCTCTCAACAACCTAGCTCCATCTTACTTTAAAGAGTTTATTGCTCCATATTTTATTAAACAGAGAATTTGTTCCCAGACTGCAGGTTTACTTGTGGTTCCTAGAGTTTATAAAAGTATGAGAGAAGAACTTTCAGTTATTTCAGTCCTCTCTTGTGACCTTAGACTATATAGAAACTACACCTGGACCACATAAACTACACCTGGACCATATAAACTACACCTGGACCACAGAAACTACACCTGGACCACAGAAACTACACCTGG